CATCCATCCATCCATCCATCCATCCATCCATCCATCCATCCATCCATCATCCATCCATCCATCCATCCATCATCCATCCATCTGATCTTCTTCAAGTCTCTCCTTGTGTACTGTATGTATTTTGAAGCCACGGCAGCTTTTTGTTTTTGTTTTAAAATAAAAGTTAAAGTTTACTTTCTTGAGCTCCTGGTGTGGTTCTGCATTCAAGATCCAAACCTTCCACTCATAGTAACAAAAACAGCTGCAGACGATGTCGTGACAGTTTCAGTTCAAATCGGTTGCATTTTGTTATTTTATTTTATTTTTTACAAAGAAAAGAGTTTTTCCTWCCTGTCATAAGCTTTAACTTAATTTTGTCTTGATTACATTTAATGAGACGTTTCTGCTGCGAACCCTGAGAAGAGGACTCTCTGTTCATCATCACTCTGAGTATTTCAACATTTAGTTTCCAGGAACCATTTTCCTGCTTCCATCCTTCCTGCTGGGACTGACCAAGAAGCTTGGAATCCTGTGTGGGAGTGTTAACTGTACACTGATGGGACAGTCACAGTTATGCAATCAGTTCCCATCAAGGAACAATGTTGCGAAACCCGACCAAGCTGAAGGCTACTTTCTTTGCTCCCTCTGCAGGAAACGTTGAAAACCTGCAGCAACTGGAAAAAACACAGCATCATCTGTAGGAATGTAGACTGTAAAACTGTAAAAGTTTTAGTCCTGTTTCCACCTAACCAACATGAAGCTGCCCCCCAGCAGGACCCCTCTATRAGCCACTTCCTATCAGAACCAGACTTCCTGTGCAGAACAAAGACAATCTTGTTCCACATCATCTCAGTCCTTGAAGTAGTTTGTCTCCAGGAAACGTTTTAAATCAAATGGAAAGCAGCTGTTTCTTTCCTTTCTTTTGTTTATACCACATGTGTTACATAACATATGATTAGGTTTGATTACAGCAAGTGCAGGTAAAATAAATAAAACATAAATGTTACATAAGCCTGGCAGCGGCCCACATGTGCTCCGATTGTTTCTAATGCAGACCAGATGCAGCTCAGAGTCTTTTCACTGCGTTTACTTTGATTTATTGTACTGTTCTCACTGAACGGATCAAAACTTGAGCTTCGTAAAGAAAACCATGAAAATGTTCACAATGCACTCCGAACTTTAAACACAACAGGACCAGTTTCCACGTTGAAGGTCAGACAGCTGAAGGCACCAAACTTTGTTTCATTAAACGCAAAGAAACCTTTAAAATCCAGATTCTTTAATCTCTTCCACCAAGAGAAAAATCAAAATGTAGTTTTGGGTGCTTGAACACACCTGCTCTGAATGAATGAGTGATKGACAGGCAGCAGAGGAACATAAAAACCTGCAGGATGGTGGTCCTCCAGGGCCAGGACTGACTGAGCGGGCTCTCACGTTGTGGATTAACCTGTTTATATATCAGGTGTTACAGCTACGTGTTCCTCCCTGACAGTGTTCTCTGTTCTCCTGATTAACTCACACTTTGTCTTCTGCAGCCCTCTTTAGTTGTGGTTATTTTTGTGTATGGTTTGGATCTGCACACCAACATCATCACCATCGTCACAGTGTTGATCAGGACATTTAGCTGGTGCTGAAACAGAATCCAGCCTGGTTGGGTTTCTATCCTTCAAAACCATCAATTTAAGCTGAAGATGAACTTTCTGCACTTTTTTATATTTGGATAATTTGCTCTATCAGAAATTACTTTAATGTGTTTGTTTCTGAAAAACCACAAGAATCAAAAGCTCTTTACTTCTCGTGAGCTGATGCAGGCTGAGAGTTTCTACAGAACTCTGTGGTTTCTGATGATGTTCCTAATGGTCTGGTGTAGAAATCCCATTTGAGTCATCAACRTATAAAACTGATTATTCCTGCATCCTGTTTCCTTTCATCACTTACAGGAAACATTTCTCCCATTAAAACCCTTAAATCTCTGCTAAACTACTTTTATTACAACATAGTTTTATTAAAATTAGTATTTTTTTACAGGCATGTAAAGTATGAACATGTAAAGTATGAACATGTAAAGTATGAACATGTAAAGTATGAATATATAAAGTATGAACATGTAAAGTATGAACATGTAAAGTTTGAACATGTAAAGTTTGAACATGTAAAGTATGAATATATAAAGTATGAACATGTAAAGTATGAACATATAAAGTATGAACATGTAAAGTTTGAACATGTAAAGTATGAACATGTAAAGTATGAACATGTAAAGTATGAACATGAGTTCATTTAAATCTAATTTTGCCTTCTGCCTTTTTTGTTCTATTTCCTGTCCTTGTAATGCTTCTAGCAATTTAATAGATTCCTCTAGTTCCTTAATACGTTTATTTTCATTTTTCTTTTTATTTGTTGAAAACCATATTATTTTGCCCCATATTGCTGTTTTCCCTGCCTCCCATAAAATGGATGTTGAAGTCATTATACTCTAAATATGACGTCCACTCTTTTCTAAAGTATGAACATGTAAAGTATGAATATGTAAAGTATTCTGTGTTAGTACAATTAGCACAGTTAGCATCAGTAACAGAGCGTCCTGTGTTAGCACAATTAGCACAGTTAGCATCAGTAACTGAGCATCCTGTGTTAGCACAATGAGCACAGTTAGCATCAGTAAGAGAGCGTTTTGTGTTAGCACAGTTAGCATCAGTAATGGAGCATTCTGTGTTAGCATGATTAGCACAGTTAGCATCAGTAACTGAGCATTCTGTGTTAGCACAATTAGCACAGTTAGCATCAGTAACTGAGCATTGTGTGTTAGCACAATTAGCACAATTAGCATCAGTAACTGAGCATTCTGTGTTAGCACAATTAGCATCAGTAACTGAGCATCCTGTGTTATCACAATTAGCACAGTTAGCATCAGTAACAGAGCGTCCTGTGTTAGCACAATGAGCACAGTTAGCATCAGTAAGAGAGTGTTTTGTGTTAGCACAGTTAGCACAGTTAGCGTCAGTAATGGAGCATTCTGTGTTAGCACAATTAGCACAATTAGCATCAGTAACTGAGCATTCTGTGTTAGCACAATTAGCACAATTAGCATCGGTAACTGAGCATGCTGTGTTAGCACAATTAGCACAGTTAGCATCAGTAACTGAGCATTGTGTGTTAGCACAATTAGCACAGTTAGCATCAGTAACAGAGTGTCCTGTGTTAGCACGATTAGCATAGTTAGCATCAGTAACAGAGTGTCCTGTGTTAGCACATTTAGCACAGTTAGCATCAGTAACAGAGTGTCCTGTGTTAGCACGATTAGCACAGTTAGCATCAGTAACAGAGTGTTCTGTGTTAGCACAATTAGCACAGTTAGCATCAGTAACAGAGTGTCCTGTGTTAGCACGATTAGCATAGTTAGCATCAGTAACAGAGTGTCCTGTGTTAGCACATTTAGCACAGTTAGCATCAGTAACAGAGTGTTCTGTGTTAGCACAATTAGCACAGTTAGCATCAGTAACAGAGTGTCCTGTGTTAGCATGATTAGCACAGTTAGCATCAGTAACTGATGCTTGTTTCGCAGCTGTTTGGCCTGCTCTTCACGCTCCTCATGATCCGTCAGGTGTTGCACCACGACAGCGCAGGAGGACCGTCGATGGCCATGAAAGGCTACTAAAGTTAGCTCCGCCTCTGACGCCTGATCTTATTCTCTTATATTGCAGCATTTTTGTGACGGAATGGGGGAAATGCTTATAAAACAATGCAATCATTATGTATGCTGAAAGAGGGCAATTGAAGTAGTTCATGTTGTTGAGAACAAAGAACAGTCAAATGTTATTTAAAAAGTTCAAGAACTGTTCAAATACTGTACAAAATAAAGTTATTTACTTCCTGGGAACATCCAGAAGATATTCAGG